TTAGGTTCACCAGGTATACACTCCGTGACCTTTATTTATGGCTAGAAACCAATTATGAGTGAATACATCCCATGTTCATCTTTTTGGGTCTGGGTTACCTCGCTCAGGATAGTGTTTTCTATTTCCATCCATTTGCATGCAAAATTCGAGAAGTCATTGTTTTTTACCGCAGCATAATACTCTAATGTGTATATATTCCACACTTTCTTCATCCATTCTTCCATTGAAGGGCATCTAGGTTGTTTCCAGGTTCTGGCTATTACAAATAATGCTGCTATGAACATAGTTGAACAAATGCTTTTGTCATATGATAGGGCATCTCTTGGGTATATTCCCAAGAGTGGTATTGCTGGGTCCAGGGGTAGGTTGATCCCGAATTTCCTGAGAAACCGAAACACTGATTTCCAAAGTGGTTGCACAAGATTGCATTCCCACCAGCAATGGATGAGGGTACCCCTTCCTCCACAGCCTCTCCAGCAAAGGCTATCATCGGTGCTTTTGATTTTAGCCATTCTGACAGGTGTGAGATGATATCTCAAAGTTGTTTTGATTTGCATTTCCCTGATTGCTAATGAGGTTGAGCATGACCTTAGGTGTCTTTTGGCCATTTGAACTTCTTCTTTTGAGAATTCTCTGTTCAGTTCAGTGCCCCATTTTTTAATTGGGTTGACCCATTATTCTTATCTATGTTAGCCACATGGCTCGGTACCTTTCTCAATGGGGTAGATCACATCCTGCTTCTTCGGTCATCTGGGCAGGAGTGGGGAATGGGCTTCCTCCTTCCTAGAATTCTCCTGCCTCTACTTCCTGTCTGGTTGACCTGCCTATACTTCTGTCTGACAGAATACAGACAATTCTCCCGCACCATTTAGGCAATATTATATCCTTCTGGAGTTTTTGATGGAGTTGAAGAGTAGATAGTAATAATATAGTTTTCCTTAGTTATGATAAAAGATAAAGTAAATATAAATATTGTAACTGTAATTCTTGCTTGATACTTATTCTGTTATATGTAGTTTTGCTATGTTAAAGTTAAAGCCTTCCTTTTTGTATAACAGGAAGGGGGAAATGATATGGGATGTCCTTTTGTCTATGTGTTGCTTTTATAGGTTAATGAATAAAGAAACTGCTTTAGACCTATATCAAGGAAGAACTTAAGTAGGCAGGGAAAAAGAAGGGCAGAGTCAGAGAGAAGCAATGGGAACCACCAGAAACAGACATCTCACTGCCTGGACAGTCACCCAGAGTTCTTCTGTAACGTTGGGGCATCCATCTTCAGCCTGCAGGTCCATAGTATCCAGCAGACTTTTCCATGAAGCAGGAAATTTCAAAGACAGTTGAATCACTTTCTTCTGTGTCGTGCAGAATGTCTGGCAGACTCTTTCATGAAGCAGGAACCCCAAAAGACCATCTCACCTTTAGGCAAGTTCAGCAGTCTCTGTGGCTACTGCATGTCCAGTGAAGCAGTCTAGGCAAGAGCAGTTTCTTGCCCAAATGGCTAAGGAGCCTCTTCCTCTCAAAGTAATTGGTGCTGCCAGGAGCAGATCTGTCTCACTGTCATGAAAAGTCTTAAGTTCTTAAAACATTTTAAATGTCATATTCTGAAGGTCTCTGAAAGATTTGAAGAAAACCTAACTAACATGGCTACAATCTTGACTATTATAGATGACTATCTATTAACCTATATTTCTTAATGATACATTACATTTTTTAAATGAGCTACACAATCACAAATCCTTAATCAAGAGCAGAAATCTACATATAACAAAATTGACCTTAAATTTGTATCAATAAATCAAGATCCATACCAGAGCAAATTATTTATATCTATATCAAAAGTGTATAAAGCCTAACACCTGTCAAGTAGTTTACAAAAATAGCTCACCTTCTTATAATTTGCTGATAAATTTACAGACAAACTCCTTATGGATACTGCAGGATTTTAAAAGCTATTGATAACTTTACATGGTAGTATATATCTTTAGTCCCAGCACTCAGATGGCACCCGCCTAGTATACATTGCCAGTTCCAGGCTAACCACGGCTATGCAGTGAGATTGTCTCAAAACAAAAACAAAAACAAAAAAAAAAAAAACACCAAAAAAATTACATTGATGAAGGAGCTGCACACTATTTACAGCCTTGGTTAAAAGAGGGTCACATTGTTGGGATTAGAGGGGGTCTTACTGCTGGTGTTGAGAGTGTATAGTACGGTTATTGAGCTTAAATAATTAAGTTTCCCAGCATGGCTATTTATTAATAAAATAATCATATTTGCTAATTAGTTAGTTTATAACTATCCACAATATGAGTATTTTTCACACGTGGTTACCTTGCCAGTATGGAACTTGTTTTCCCAATATGTGTGGCTATAGAGTTCTGTTTTATTTCTTGTGATCATTAACCTAGGTTTTATGTTTGTTCTCTCTTTCTTTTAAAGATTTATTAATTTTTATGTGCATTGGTATTTTGTCTGCATATGTGTCTGCGTGGGGGTGTTAGATCCTCTGGACCTGAAGTTACAGACAGTTCAGTTCTGAGCTGCCATGTGGGTTCTGGGAATGGAGCCCCAGTTTCTCTGGAATTGCATTCAGTGCTTATAACTGCTGAACTGTCTGTAAGGTTCAGTGTGGCTGACTTTATCTTGAGGTCTTTGATCCATTTGGACTTGAGTTTTGTGCATGGTGATAGATATCAGTCTATTTTCATTCTTCTACATGTTGCTATCTAGTTATGCCAGCACCATTTGTTAAATATGCTATCTTTTCTTCCATTTGATACTTTTATCAAAAATCAGGTGTTTGAAGGAGTGTGGATTAATATCCGGGTCTTCTATTTGGTTCTATTGGTCCTTCTGTCTGTTCTTATGCCAATACCAGGCTGTTTGCAGTACTGTAGCTCTGTAGTAGAGTTTGAAGTCAGGGATTGTGATGTCTCTAGTAGTTCTTTTATTTTACAGGATTGTTTTGACTATCCTGGGTTTTTTGCTTTTCCATATGAAGTTGAGTACTGTTCTTTTGAGGTCTGTAAAGAATTTTGCTGGGATTTTGATGGGCATTGCATTGAATCTGTAGATTGCTTTTGGTAAGATTGCCATTTTTACTGTGTTAATTCTGCCTACCCAAGAGCATGGGAGATCTTTCCACTTTGTGGTGTCTTCTTAGATTTCTTTCTTCAAAGATTTAAAGTTCTTGTCATACAAGTCTTCCACTTGTTTGGTTAGAGTTACTCTGAGATATTTTATGCTATTTGTGGCTATTGTGAAGGGTGTTTTTTCTCTAATTTCTTCTCCAGCCCTTTTGTCATCTGTGTACAGGAGAGCTACTGGTTATTTTGAATTAATCCTGTATCTTGCTACATTACTGAAAGTTGTAGAAGTTCCTTGGTAGAATTTTTTGGATTGTTTATGTAAACTATCATATCATA